AAAAGATCTGCCTCCCATTCTACTTTTAGAAATTCTAGGAACCACTAGTAAACCTGCAGATTGAGAGCGAAGTGCTCTGTTAGGAACATAAGGAACAATCAGATCTCTGATATAAGATGGAGCTTGGCCATTTAAGCCTTTATATGTGAGAAGGAGGATTTTAAATTCTATTCTTGATTTAACAGGAAGCCAATGAAGAGAAGCCAGGATAGGCGAGATATGATCTCTCTTTTTAATTTTCATTAGAACTCTGGCTGCAGCATTTTGGATCAGCTGAAGGCTTTTAACTACAGTTTGTGGACTTCCTGATAGTAAAGAATTACAATAGTCCAGCCTTGAAGTAACAAATGCATGGACTAGTTTCTCAGCATCACCCCTGGACAGGATATTTCTAATTTTTGCAATGTTCCTCAGATGAAAGAAGGAAATTCTAGAAACCTCTTTGATATGGGATTTAAATGACAGGTCCTGATCAAAAATAACACCAAGATTTTTTACTTTATTATCTGAAATCAGTTTAATCCCATCCAAATGAAGTGACTGGCTAATCAGTTTCTTTTTCAGAGACTCTGGTCCAAAGACTATAACTTCTGTTTTGTCTGCATTCAGAAGCAGAAAGTTAAGAGTCATCCAGGTTTTTATGTCTTCAAGACATGCCTGTAATCTATGTAATGGGTTAGCTTCATCTGGATTTATAGACAGATATAGCTGGGTATCATCAGCATAACAGTGGAAATTAATCCCATGCTGTCTAATAATTCTACCAATTGGGAGCATGTATAAAGTAAAGAGAATTGGTCCTAGCACTGATCCCTGTGGTACTCCACAGGTAACCTTTGAGCGTGTTGAAGATCTATCATTAACATGAACAAACTGAATTCGATCAGATAGATAAGATTTAAACCAGTCTAGTGCTGTTCCAACAGGTTTATTGAATGTTGATGAAACACAGAAGTAGGAGCTGGAACTCAGTGGACTGGTGAACTGGAACTGGAAAGTCTGAAGGAGAGGTCACAGAGATGGGAGGAAAATTGACTGAGGCTTGAATATAGCTGGAGAGAAACTCAAGTTTGAGGGGGCTCTTGTTAATCCTTGAATCCAGTTTGGAGGAGAGGGAACTCGTTGGAGAGCGGACAGGTAGACATACGTTGGACCCAGAGGAGTAAAGGAGCGGACTTTTACTGTACTTGGTTTTTCGATGAGGACTTGAACGGATCATGTGGAGGTTTACCCCTGCTCAGTGTGTACTCAGTAATCCTTCCAGGGGGAGCAGGTCCAGGTTATCCAGTTACACAGGAAGGGCTTCCTGCCGGAGAACAAAGACAAAACAAGAGCTTGTTTGCCTGGCTGTGTGTTTCCTGGACGGGGTCGCCTTTACAGCTGCTTTTTGTATCTCTGCTTCTGTCTCCTTGAACCCCAGTCGGCCTCAGCAGATGGCCGCTCACACTGAGCCTGGTTCTGCTGGAGGTTTCTTCCTGTTCAAAGGGAGTTTTTCCTCTCCACTGTCGCTACAAGCATGCTTAGTGTGAAGGATTGTATTTGAGTCAATGAGTCGATGCAATCAACTGGTTTTCCTTAGATTAGAAAACTTTGTATCAATTTGACTGGATGATCTGGTTGAACTGTAAAGTGCCTTGAGATGACATGTGTTATGAATTTGGCGCTATATAAATAAACTGAATTGAATTGAATTGAATAGATAAGACTCAGAGAAACAAAGCTTTGGTTAGACTCTGCTAACCTCAGCTTGGCTAGAGTACCCAAAACTGGCAAACACTCTGGCCTCGAGGTAGTGACAGCCCGCTGCTCAAATACTCCTCCGGTAATGATCCAACGAGGTGTGCAGGGAGGCCCAAGGAGGAGAAGGGCACCACCTGGCGGTAGAGAGAGAAAAACACAAAAACAACCCACACAAACTGGATTCCTAACAAAGTACTGCTGCACTAACATAAGAATAAGGGCTTTGTTTGATAAATGATTCTATAAAATAATGAAAAAATATTACTGGTTGGCATTTGAGAAATGAGACAAAATGTATGTGTCCTGTTATTAATCTGAAATGTAAATTTTAGTAAAAGGGACTTGAAGCCAATTTTAAGTTCAGAAAATTTTGGCTTTTCAAAGCCAAGTCTAAATTAAATCTCTTGCATATAAGGTAAGCGGTCACTCCAGTCAAATAACAACAACAACCATTTAGGGGGAATTTAAGTGGAATTTTCAACTTTTAATCTCTGTAAGTACTGATCAGTGTGGTTTAGTAACATTCTAGAAAATGTAATATAAAACCTTCTCATTAGGTTTTATTTTAATCATGAGTTAAGTGAACATATCAGTTAGGCAATCCCTCTGGTTTTCCAGCTTCATGAACAGTAAAGTTCAGGTGGATGTCATTCCCCTTCTAAAAAATTTAACAAAACACACTAGTTGCTACAAGTGAATGTTCCTGCTTCACTGTTCCCCACTTCACTGTGTTTGTTTACCTTGCCAATACAGTAATTGTGTGATTTTTATGTGTACCATATAAACCACTACACCAGTGGAAATCCAGTCAAAGTACCACCAATAATGCTCACAGCAAAGATGCAAGAAGCTCATTTATGCATCTAGATAATCTAAGAAAAAAGAAAAGCCAGGATTCTGCCTCACTGCTACAGTTACAATTTTTTGGTGACATTTGAAAATGGGTGCGGTAGAACAAGATACTGCAACTGTATCTGCAACTATAAACTGGTATAAAACATTAATCTAATACATTTCTGAAGCACAGGTTCTAACTTGTTACAACTATCTCCCAGTCATTGAAAGATGAGTTCCTTCCTTTTAATCTTTATAAGCTGTCCTTTAAAAGTCAGATTAACTAAACTAACATTGCTTTTAGACAGGCTAAGTCCTGTGTTGAAATGTTGAAACAAATGTTTGTATTGCTTTAGATCATTCATATATTAACTATATTAACAGTGCTTTTAAACTAGCATGTTGTATCTAAAGAGCTCAGCATTTCATGTACCCTCACGGTTGGACCCTGAGGGTACATATATATATTCTTTCCACTTTAACTGAGTTCATAGTTTGTGGTGCTTTTCTCCTGAAGTTCGTTTACTTCGCATTTAGTTGCATTTAGAAATGATTTCATGCTCAACTGGACGATAGCCACACTGGAAAAACAAGGGATTTTGCTTTTGCTTTACTCTGTTAGCAATTTAACTGGGATTTATATTCTATTAGCATTCCTGTGACTAATATTATCAATAATCTTTATGTTAGTATAGTCGTTTTACATTCCTATGCATTTGATCCTGCCACTTGGAAGAAATCTGTCATGAAGGGTCTTGCTAACGGACCCATAATGAGACTCTTTGGAGATCAAACCAGGTACTTCCAACCTTCTCAGCATGTGATTTGCTTTACCATTAGGCCAATAATAGGCAGTTGCCTATGGTGCCAAGTTCCTGGGGCCCCATAAAACTCTGTTTATATGTATAGTTAATACAGCTATTCCTTACTTGTGCACATTAATTATGTTTTTTTATCAAAATCCTTTTGCTAAAATGTCATCAGAACGCAACAAACCATTTCAAAACAAACGATGCAAAGAGGGGTGTTGCCAACTTAGCGTTTTTGTCGCTATATTTAGCAACTATTTTGAGACCTCTCAAGTACTTTTATTTCAAAAAAACATCTAGCACCAAATATAGCGACTTTTTTCTACTAGTCGAGACTTTGGCAACAACATATAAAAGCAGCGAACTCTGCTCTCCAGAGCAAGTAGATTGGTAACCCCGCCTCCTGCTCTCCTCTATCTTGTCTGCTGTCATGATTCATGCAGCTATTTTTTCATCCAAATGAAAAATGGAGAACAGATAAGCAGATCATGGCTTGTCTACTGTGAAAAGAAGGACTGGGTTATTTACTTTTGCCGTCGCCTTTTTGGAAACACAGGAAGGAGCAATCAGCTAAGTGAGCTTAGTGCTTGGAAACAATCTTTCATTCCTTTAGAGACAGCATGAAAAGTCAGCTGAGTACAAAACATAGAGAGGAAAACAACAAGAAAGGGACAAGAAGAGAGGGACAAAACCTAGAACAAATAATGGATGTCTATTCTATTAATGTATGTCTATTCTATAAAAAATTATGTATCTGTATAATGGGTCTGTTTTATGTGTTGTTTTCTCAATTCAGAGGGCCACATGCCTGTTTTTGCCTAGGGCCCCAAATTTCCTAATTCCGCCCCTAATTTCTGCCTCCATAAGGCAACAAAAAAATAAAGATTGAGACTTTCAGTTCATATGATAATTAATAAAATAATTATGCATAATAATAATATCTTACATTTCTTTCAGTAAATACCTGCAATTATTAAACACTGTAGCTTTAAGAGCTGGAAAGACATGCATAAAGAGGAAGGATGTGCAAAGAATGAAAAGTGACATGCGTTATTAAAAATATGCAAATAGGAATAGAAAACAATAAGAAGTGGTGGAAAAAGTATGAATAGAAAAATGTGTTACACTGACTCTGCAACTCTGTTGATCCTCAGACAGGTAAGGGTAATAATCCTTAGCAGATTTAATATAAATATCTTACTGGCTTTAGACAGCCATGCCAATCAGAAATCCTTTAACATGCCTCTTACAATAATTAGATTAAATAAAAAACAAAAAATAAGCTCCAGTCTTCACTTAAATTTAAAATAAATATTTGTCCAAATACAATAGAATCCAATGAATGGTCAATAAACAAGCCTCCGCAGAACTTGATGATGTTCTGAGGAGGTAGTTCAGACATTTTCTTCGGGTATCCTACATAAAACAAAGATCTTGCTCCTTTAAAAGCTGTTACTAATACTTGCAGTCTTAACTTACATACCCCCCCTCCCCGTAAAATCCTTTTGCTTTACTCACTCCAACTTTTCTGCCTATAAACACGATTCCTCCCCATCGTGTTTTCTGTTTTTGTTTCATTTTCCTTCCTCTTTTCTTGTCTTTTTCTTCTCTATTTAGGCTTTGGCATCAAAGACAGATGGTGTTTGGCCTTGTGATGCTTCTTATGCTTCTCTCTATTGCTTACCGCATTGAGGGACCACATCAGAAGGTGACTGCACTGTTATTTATATGAAAATACCATAGGGGCTGTCAGTGATGTAACCAGCTACATAGGCTCTAGCTTTAAGAGGCATACACCTTATTAGAAACTGTTTATCCTGTAATTGAGAAGCTTTTTAATCGACGCATCATTCTGTCATAGTATTACTTAAAATAACATAAGACTATTTTTTTCCCTGCTTTCTTTATAACTTCCCTAAAATCATCCTCCAGTCATTCTGTAAATCTGCATGCAGCTCTTCCGCTGAAGTTTTTTCTCCCACTATCTCTGTTTTGGATACTCTTTTCACGTCCCATTGGCATTTTCTTTTCAGTTTTGTATGCAAAGGCCTGTGAGTTGTGTAATCACTTCTTCTCAGGAACAATTGCTCATGGCTGGCCCCTCACTTCCCAGCACTCTGCCAGCAAACAGAGACAGTATGTGCTGTTTTTGTTTTCCTGGGTTTCCTGGGAAATTGAGTCTTTGGTAAGCCTCCCCCCCCTCACCATTCCCAACCTCCTGACATATATTCCGTTCAAACCCTTTAAAGTCCCCTCCTCTTTTCCCGTAATCTGGATTCTTGATGCTTCCTTTTGGAAACAACCTGCCCTGGCTGAAGGGAGGAGGTATAAAATGGAGGGATGATTTGATAGTGGTGGAGAGAGAGAGAGAGAAAGAGTGGGAGACAGAGAGAGAGATCTTGGCTTGTGTTATTTTACATGTTGTGTAAGAGCTGGTTGCCACCAGAAAGAATAATGGTGCTGTTCTTCTCTGAGTGCTGAACACTCCTACCCTACAGCTCTGCTCTGCTCTGAAACCCAACAACCTCTCCCTCTGAAGGTTTCTCTTTCTCTCTTCCTCTCGCTCACTTGTCCTCTCCCACCCTTTAAAGTACCCTCTGTTTTTCACACTTTCACTCATGTAACTTCTCTCTCTGGTCCCTCCCCCCCCTTATGCATGTGGCTCTGCCATGTGGTGGACTGTCCCTCTCTTTGGCCCCTGCAGTACGTGTGCTCCATGGAGAAGAGGACACTGTGGTGCGCCTATTGGGTCGGCCTGGGTATCCTCTCCTCCGTCGGTCTTGGCACCGGCCTGCACACCTTCCTGCTTTACCTGGTAAGACATCATTTGTTCATGGCAGAGCTACTCCACGCTGCAGCTCTTCACTTCCCCCCATGCTGGTTTATGTCACCGCTCAAACCCAAACAGAGCGGATGATGGTGGCGCAGTCAGTGACGCAGATTTTTAAAAGGCACTGTTGATGTTTCACTGGTTGTGCTGCTGCATAGTTAGAAAAGAAAAAAGGGATTTCTGGAGTTGTTTTCGTGCATTCGCATTTATTTTTGATGCATTTGTCTGTTTGCATTACAGAGAGAAGTGGGGATGTTGAGGTAGCTGCATTGTTTTGACAGGCAGTCTAAAAACATTTGCACTCACTGACCCCTCTGAGTCCACATGAGGATAAAAACAACCCCCCCTCCCCTTCTAACTTCTTTCTCTGTTGTTTTCTTTTTATTTGTCCCTCCCTTCCCTATATATGCCTCTTCTCTTATTTGCGTTTCCACTTTTACTCTTCTCCTTTTTTTTTTTTTTTTTGGGGTGGAGGGGTCTTTTCTTCTGATACCAGGACATCTGCTGGTCCTTTCTGCTTCCAGTCCATCTGTCATCTCTCACACTCGGATGCTCGGATCCGAACTAGGAACTTTGAAGTGCGTGTTCCTCATCCTGCTGTTTGGTTTTGTTTTCAGATAAACGCTCCAAAATGTAATATGAGAGACCTTGTTGTATTTTTCCCCTATAATCTCTCTTTCCGCGCTGCTCAATTCACTGGAAAGTTTCTAAAAAGGGGTAATGTCACCATCTAGTGGGCGTGTCCGGTACTGCAGGCTGTGGTGTCACTGAGTTCATGACAGAACCTGATGCTCCTTCCTGCGGCTGCTGCTGTACATTCTGTCTCCAGCCTGTGAGATACAGCCTGTTAAACACTGTTATTAGCGCTGCTGATGCACAAAGCTCACTAAAAATACGCCTTTTTTAAAATCACATAACGTGGTGGTTATAAAAGATGTTTTCTCCCAAAAAATATGTTTGTAAAAGAAAACACAGGCACTGTAAATTTATGTTTTATTGATTTTCTTTGATTTTTTTTTTTAATTTACAGACTTCATTATAAACAGTAAAGTGCAGATAGTCTCATTAGTAAATGATTGTAGAAAACAAAACAACATTTAAAAACCCTTCTTTATGATAATACTAAGCAGTATTTAACTGAACCTTTCAACAATAGACCAACATACCCACATATCCAGCTCAGAATCAAATCATTTTCAGATTATTCTAAAGAAGAATATAAAAGCGTATTTATCAGAAGAACACGTGTTTATTACAACATTATATCTCTTTACACTCAAAGATGCCTTATGCTCCCTGAAAGTTCACATTCACTTTCTGATAAGAATAAAAACACAGACCTTAGCTAAAGAGAGGAGAAAACTGCAACTAGGGGGAGAGAATAATTGTGCAACAGACAAAAAAAGGGCTTTTAAACTGAAACATTTTGACAAAAGGCTGTGATGTTTTTTTGTTGTTGTTTTTTTTTACCATATTCATATAACCACTGTGCATGTATCACAGATTTTTACTTTTAATGGGGGATAATATCATGTTTGGCTTTGTAGCAAAGAGCACAAGTGCAGTTATTTGTCTCTTTAATAATAAATGTAAAACATTCTTAGATATTATATTCATATAACATGGTCAGACAATGAAAGTAAATAGAAGACATCAGCAATGAGTAATAAAAAAAATAGGGAGTTTGTATGCAGAGGGGGTTGGAAAACATGTATGGGCAAACAGGTGGAGGATCCACTGAGGCTCCACTTTCCCTCATTAAGGGGTGGGCATTTATCGCATCATTTATCATTATCGTGATAAAAACTTTTTTTTATCATCTAAATGATAAATTAGAATAAATTATGTTTAACATCCCGCCCAACGCCCACATCCCCACAAAAAAAGGTAAACTGTCAGTTGTCAATTTGTAAACAGTCTTTCATCTTTTATTATTATCTCTTGGGGGATTGATGCATTTCAAAGAAGAGGATTATATGTCGTTACTTTAAGATTTTCACTTTAAGATTAGATTGGTTGGCAAAAACAACCTATCTAGTTGTTTAAACCAATTTTGGTTAGATGGTTTACTGGTCTGACTGTCTGGCTGTTTCCTCTTCAACCAAAGCATTATTGGTTCAAACCCTGGCTCTGGCTTTCAAAGTTGATAACTACTAGACAGATTGGTAAAATTCATCCAATTTTTTGGTTGTGTTGACCAATCTGTTTTTAGGGTGTCGGGTGTTTAGCACTAAAAATCCCACTCTTGTATGTAATTGATGTCCCAATGAAGCTTATTTTGCATGGGTATATATTTAAAGTGTTATTTGTTGTTATGAGAGTTGGATAGCTGTGACATGCAGTCACAGCCATACAGTGAATATAGCAAAAAGTAATGAAGACTTGTTGTTTTTTTAATTTTCACTTTTGTCCCTTTCACAATAGAATAAAAAAACAATGATTTAATGACCATATCGCCCACCGCATCCCTCATCCTGACCACACTGCCGCTTAACCCCCGCTCATGTTTGACTTAAGGAGACATTGGCTTTATCTGAGTATAGCAAATCAGAGCTCTTAATTCCTCTACATTCATCTTTCATGGGATTAACAGAAAGAAACATATGATGGTAAGGAAGGGAATTAAAACCAGTCCTTATGAGCCTAAAGAGAATTCCATCACTGGGTGCAACAAGCTGACATTATCAGACATGGCGCCCTCTGCTGTCAGAACCATAAAAAAAAGAAAAGAAAAAACATAGAGCCTGCAATGCCGTAAAGCAAACAGCTCAGCGTGGTTAAAGACCAATGGAGATCATTTATATCATTTATATAAAACGATCTACAGGAACTAAGTTGTAGTCAAACATCTTTAGAGCCTCTTATCAAATTCATCAAAGAAAATAAAATTGACTTTTCTTGTAAACTCAAACAGAGACACAGCATCAATGATCCTGAATCGCCTTCTGAATTTTAGCAGCTGTGACAGCTGTGACTCCCCCCCCCCCCCCCCCCCCCCCCGCCGACTTTGTTTATTTTATACAATTTATCTATCTATTTATAAGACCAAGGATAGCATTGTTATCACCAGTATTAGCATTAATAATGACATTTACTCTCACATACAACAACTCTGCAACTTTAGCTCCCTACTGATAGTCGTACCGTATTCCTGGCACTATTCCGGTCTTATCCCACTTGGAATAAAATGTTTCTTTTTTCATGCTGGAGCTTTTCTTATGCCTCAAATTTCACTAGGAGATGCTAAGTTGTTTCCCTATTGCATTGAAAGCAGTGCTGTTATTGTAGATATACAGGAAAGGCTTTATTTACTGGCGATGGGCGTACACTGTACGAGATGTTCAATCGTCGCACGCAGCTACAGCTCACACTGTACAACGAAACCGCAGAGTTTAAAATTTCGCAGCTCTCAATGTATGTTCTCACACTGTGTGGCCCGACGCTCTGATGCGATCCACCTGCTCACACTGTATGTCTAAAAACTGCGTCGGACTCCTCTCTGCAGTGAGATGGCGCTACTCGGACTCGTCTATCTGTAAGCCAAACGAGTAGAAGAGGAATATGTAGCTCACTAAAGAGAAACGCGCTGCCTTGGCAATTTGTGTCATTTTGTGCTGAAAGCCCTTAAAAGAAAAGGCAACAATGTATTTGGACAAAGAAATGGCTGAGCAAATGTGGCTACTACGATCTGTCAATTTTACAGAAAGAATTCCACTTCACCCGCACCCCCGCCATGCTTCTGCTTTTTGATTCTTAGAGGAGGAAGAAGAATCCTTGTTTGCGCACTGAGTGATTTGCCCACGAAGGCCGACTGAATTTAAAAAATGTTTGATTTTCTCCCGACCTCGGGATTCCTGATCGGAAGGTGATCGTGAGAGGCTGATCGCCCCTCGTTACCCCCTGTATACTATACTAAGCACGATCAGGCTGAAAATTAGCCCGATCGAAAAATTCTGACAAGACTGGAAAATCGGCCCAAAAAAGGCAAATAATCATACAGTGTATGCCTGGCTTAATCAATTTAGGAAAAAGTAAGTGGAAAAACACACACAAAAATACAAATGATATCCCAGAAGGACGTGGTAATCTGTCAGATATCTTTGGATATATGGATTTAAAATATATACCCCTTTAAACTATGGTCAAACAGTACAGACTGTACATATGTTACGCCAAGCTTTATTAAAAATGTGTTAAACATTTCTGATGTAGATTTAAAAAAAATACTAAATAGTTTAAAAAAAAATCCTGTTTTATTAAGTTGTGGTAACAACAATTAAATTCAGTTAAGTTTATTTCTATAGCGCCAATTCACAACACATGTCATCTCAAGGCACTTTACAGTTCAACCAGATCATCCAGTCAAATTGATTCAAAGTTTTCTATTGAAGGAAAACCAGTTGATTGCATTGACTCATTGACTCAAATGCAATCCCTCACACTAAGCATGCTTGTAGCGACAGTGGAGAGGAAAAGCAAAGAGAGCATAACATTAGAGATTGAACTATCTGCAGAGCATGAGAATAGAGATAGAATGAAGCAGAATGATGAAATAGGGGTCCCTATGTCCTCCAGCAGTCTAAGCCTATAGCAGCATAACTATAGAAATAGCTCAGGATAACCTGAGCCACCCTAACTATAAGCTTTATCAAAAAGGAAAGTTTTAAGCCTAGCCTTAAAAGTAGACAGGGTGTCTGCCTCACGGACTAAAACTGGTAGTTGGTTCCACAGGAGAGGAGCCTGATAACTAAAAATCTGCCTCCCATTCTACTTTTAGAAATTCTAGGAACCACTAGTAAACCTGCAGATTGAAAAGCGAAGTGCTCTGTTAGGAACATAAGAAACAATCAGATCTCTGATATCAGATGGAGCTTGGCCATTTAAGACTTTATATGCGAGACGGAGGATTTTAAATTCTATTCTGGATTTAACAGGAAGCCAATGAAGAGAAGCTTTTTAATCAGAACTCTGGCTGCAGCATTTTG